AGGAGAATGGTCCCCTTTGCCGTTTATCTTTTCTTTCCCCCCCCCAGCGCACGCCCCCCCCCCCCCCCGCAAAATGGCTCAGAAATCACACTCGCTTCTCCAGCCACTGTGAGCCTTTTCTTAACAACCATGATTTATAGAGAATGAACTGCTTTCAGCGGCCTGGCCGATTTCCCGTGTTAACACCTGCGCCAGCCTCATGTAGTTTTGTCATCTATTTCAGGGATGTGCCTCTCGGATTTTTAAAAGGAGCTCCAGGGACAAAGCACTGTCAGACCGTGGGTCAATATTTGTTCAGTGGCGCTCCATTTACCCTCTGCCCACTTAGATTACACTCCGGGTCTTTGGAGGATGGCTAACAATAGCTCTTGCTGTCTTATTTGGGGAAGGCAATGTGTTTCTGAAGCCACGCAAAAGAGGATCAAATAGGAACAGCTCATTCAGCAACTGGAAATGTGACATTTTGCGATGACGCTATGCAGAATCTGCCAGTCAGAGTGGCTTTTCTTTTCCAGCACCCACAATGGCTGGGGATTCTGAGGCTTGTCGTCCGAAGCAGCGTGTTTTCCAAGGTCTAGATCAGTGCCGTGCCTTGGAAGAAGCAAGAACTACGACAGGCCCTAGCAATTCAAAAACTATCACCTATTAACAACAAAAAGGGGGGGAGGAACTCAACTCACTGTCCTCCACTCTGAAAAATAATCACACAGTAGGTGGTAGGAGAGAGACCCCACCAGAAATCCCAGACTGAAGCAACTTGTTTGGTCAGCGATTCCTTCACATGGAAAGCACACCAGGCACAAAGAAAGAAGTCAGGAGGGAACTTTACCATTTGCCCACTATCTTGTTGACGTAACCTGCTTTCTTCAGCAATTCTGGAAGGAGCAGCTCGGCATCGGGGATGCCCCCTGTGATGTCTTGGGGGGTATAGGCTGCAGGAAGAAGACAAGAATGCACTTCAGCCAGAGGTAGCAAGCAGGGAGCCCATGTTTTTCCACAAGAATAGGACTCATCAACCGCCTCCTAAGAAATCCTTCAAAGCAGCCAGATGACAGTGACAACGCGCCCTTTTGTGCTTAGACAAAGGATGTGTCAATCTCACCTGGGACAGCTACCCAACTTTAAATGCTGTGCGCGTTCCGCCATAGCTTCCCTTGCACTGCTAATAAGCCAGCAACCCTCCTCTGCCGGCAAAGAGACAAACGCCCACGCTTGCCAGAACGCAGCAGGCATCAATCCGGAGCTGTGAACGCATGCTCCGAAACATATGGTCTCCCACAGCATCTGCCCTTTGGGAACAAACAACACTCTAGCCGAGCAGATCGGTCTCCTATCAGCTCAAGCTGGCACCTCCCAACAGGAGTGTCGGCGCAAACTTTTTGTCACGGACAGCTTGGCGGTGCCCTCCAGATGCCCTTGCCAGGCTTAGTGGAGAGAACGTATTTTTACAAGAGCGGATTGTAAGCAGATTGTTAACCTGCAAATGATAAAATGCAGCTCCCCCTGCACGCTCTTTCGCTGAATGTCAACTGAGCCATTCAATAAAGCAATTTTTTTTCAAGCAGAAAATAAGAGAGAGAAAGAGAGAATAACCTGAGTGTTGGAATTGGTACTGTAGCAAGAACATGTGGAGACTATGGGTTGGATCCACATCAAGGCACACACAAACAACCCCTCTTCCCCACAATAGCCCCTCCAGCAACCCTAAAATCCTACACAGAGTGCCAGGGCCCCCTCGGCTGAATGGGGGGAAATGGGATCCTAAAGCACAAGTCAGAACTTGCTAAAGCTTGAGAGGCCAGCCCACTTCTGATTCTTCAAAGGCTAACACAGGTGATGGAAAAATGCCTGGGTTTTAAGATAATCTTCCAAGGCCCTGTGTCTTGACCCACCACTAAGTTCACTTAAGGTGGCCAGACACTGAAAACCAGTGCTTTTTCAGCAGTGGCCCCCCTGCTTTTGCAATTCTGTGCTAAAAGTAATGCAGGTGGCCTCACTTGTGACTCTCTTTAAGAGGCTTTTTAAAAAAAAAATCGCCGATTCGCTCTGACTTTTCATTGGAAGTTGTGTTTCTTTCTTGGTGAGGAATGTTTTAAAATGGTGCACAATTGTAACTTATTTAATCATCATCATCTTAGACCTGCAGAGTGGATGGGACACTAAGCATCATCATGTCCAGCCCCTGTCAAGGAGGCACAGTGGGGGAAGCCAAAAACTTGTGCAGGCTCATTTATGGTAATTTAGTTAACATCCATCTGTTGAACCAGCACTTAGTTCTGTTAATTAACCAGTGTCCAACAGAATCTGAGGGCGAGTCCTTTCCATGACAGCAACTTCCATTAACTCGATTTAACTCTCACTTTGAAACTTTTAGAAAAACAATGGTAGTCACTTTGTTCCACAAGACCAAAACAAATACAAAATCCCTGGGTAGATAATACCTTTTAAAGACCAATGAAAACTTCTCCCCTCTTTCGGGGAACTGGCTTGCCCAGTGAAGACTTATAGAGAACAAGGAAGTTTGCACATTCTTGTAGAATTTTATTTGCCCATAATCAGCCACATACCAGCTGCCTGTGGCTTTTGTTTACATTAAGATGTAAACAGTCTATTTACATAATGTTACGTTAACTTTTGTTTTGGTTAAGCTTGTATGAAGTCTATGGTTGGAAATTATAAGCTGGAAGGAAGGCCCTGGCCCTTGGCATGACCTGCGGAAGGGAATGTTCATGTGTAGAAAGAGAAGGATGTACCGTTTCTGGCGTGGGCGTTTGTGGTGTAGAAGCCATTCCTGATCGGCAGACGGCCTGTTAGGAGTGCCGCTCTTGCTACAGCAAGAAAAGAAACAAACACAACAAAACCCATCATGAGACAGGTGGTTTTCTCCTTTCAAGGCACCTCCAGATGGCTCCAATTCTGCTCCTTCCCCCCCCCCCATCTTGCCACTACAGTCCCAATGGGCAGGAGCATCATCACTCTGCTCTGCTCTCCATGTGACATCCCGGGGATGTTCCGGGAAAAGACCTACTGGTTTAGCAGTAAAAAAGGAAGTGGTGAAAAGAACATTTTGTCACATGGCCTCAGGACTCACTACAAAGAGCCTCTCAGTTCCAATTTTTTAAATATATATATATTTCTATAATACCAGGCTCTGGCAAAGCTTCTATTGAGCATGGTGCTTTTAATTTTACAGGGCACTTCAAAACCTTCATCAGAGACACCTATCTACCCACAGTGACCTCATGATCAAGGCAAAGTAGAAACAAAAGTCCAACTCTCCACACCAGGTCATGACAGTTTCACCCCACAGGTGTAAAGTTCACTCACATGGAGAACAGAGAGGGTTGGCCGTGTAGAAATTCGGGAAAAGCATTCCTTCTGCAGCCATCTGGTCTAAGTTGGGTGTTTCTTTGGAAGGATGCCCAAACACACCTAAGTCACCCCAGCCCATCTGAAGGAAAAAGAGAAATAAGTCTGGTGCATTGGACAAATGTAAAACAGCCGGCGTTTGGCATAAGCAAGCGGCTATGGCATCTCAGGAACTCTGGGGCTTGGCATCCAAAAAATATAGCTTTTCTGAGCTCGTAATAGGGGGTGAGTTGATACAGCACCTGGTCAACAAAACCCACTTTGGGCAAGCCGAGAAAGGGATCAACCACGTCCTCTTGGAGACACTTTTCTTGGGAAGGCTGGCATCGCATGTTCAGAAACACCCCCAGATACTGCCTGAGGGCAGTCACCCTGGGTGAAAGCCAAGGTCCCCTGCACCCCGGTGTTCTGTAAGGACACGAGATTCCCGAGAGAAGCTCAAAGGCAAAGCAAGGGGTACAAACAGAGGCCTCTTGGGGTTGATTCACACCGACGGGGACTCGCTCAAGAGACCCTTATTTTGAACACGGCGTTCCATTTCTGTTGCAGTGGCCAATAGCCACCGACTGGGCCTTCTAAGCACGCGGGGGTGGGGGTCGGGTCTTGCTTTGTGAAACGCCTCTCAGTCCTGCCTCCACAGCGGCTTCACGTCCCGGACAATCGTTCCCAGAATCCCCCAGGGCAAGTTGTGGTGCTGGGGATTCTGGGAGTATCAGTTCACAACCCCCAGTTCCTCACCTCTGGCCTGCCCCACAACCCGACCACGGGATCCCAGCCTTCCCCCCCCCCACAATTTCTCCACAAAACCACCACAGAGCTGGGGGAAAATTGCTTTTTCAAGAACCAAACTCCCAGAATCCCCCAGCCACCATGGTCGGGGGGGGGGGTCGGGTCTTGCTTTGTGAAACGCCTCTCAGTCCTGCCTCCACAGCGGCTTCACGTCCCGGACAATCGTTCCCAGAATCCCCCAGGGCAAGTTGTGGTGCTGGGGATTCTGGGAGTATCAGTTCACAACCCCCAGTTCCTCACCTCTGGCCTGCCCCACAACCCGACCACGGGATCCCAGCCTTCCCCCCCCCCACAATTTCTCCACAAAACCACCACAGAGCTGGGGGAAAATTGCTTTTTCAAGAACCAAACTCCCAGAATCCCCCAGCCACCATGGTCCCCCCCTCAACATGGCCGATGGCTAGGGGGGTTCTGGGAGTTGTAGTCCAAAAGGTGACTTTCCTGGGGGTTCTTTGCCCCCCTCCTTCCAGCCTCCGAGGCCGCCCCCCCCGCCTGCTCGCTCACCCCCGGCGCCCCCAGCCCTCCCGCTCCCCGGTCTCACATCGTCCATGAGCAGCAGGACCAGGTTGGGGGGCCGCGGGCTGGTGGCGTTGGCGACCTCAGCCCCCGCCAGGCTCCACAGCCCGACTAGGCCGCACAGGCCCAGCAGGAGACCCAGCAGCAGCCCCGTCTCCATGGCAACCGCTCGGGCGCCCCTCGGATTCCCACCCAAAGAAACCTCAGGGAAGGAAAGAGGCACGGGAAAGGCGGCGCGCCGGTGGAGGGGGTTAACACTTCCGGTTCTCCATAGGCCTTGAGGGGCAAAACCACTGGGACCCGAGGAGGGTCAGGGCAAGCGCTAGCCACGAAAGCAAACGGAGAAATGCAGAAGCTCCCGTTTCTTGCCGCTCTTCCTTAGGGCCAAGCGAGGAACCGTGGAAGCATAACGGAAGAGGAGCATATGCGGGGCTCGCTCCCGGCCCCGCATATGGCGATGGCTTTCCAGAGGAAGCCGGAAGTGAGAAGGACTGCGCTCCCACTCTGGGCCTATGTGCTCTATGGGAACTCACACTCATTCCTTCCCCTGGGACGCGGAGGGGGAGGGGTTCGAGAAGGAAGAGGGAGGCGCCGGCTGCCTCCATTGGTTCTTTGGATCATGTGGTGAGAAAGTAGGGGCAAACGAAGCTCCAAGGGGAAAGAAAGAGGCCGGCCCGTCCGCCAGGAGGCAAGATGGCGGTTTGCA